CAAGTAAACGCGCAGATAGGTCAGATCAAATCTCAGTACGAGCAAAAACAGATCTGAAATGAAAGGATACGAAGGGTCAGAGAGGTTACCTGATGAGAAGACTGAGAGTCGGGTCGATCTGAAGCCACAGTCGTGTTCATCTGACAAGAAACAGAAGCTGGTTAGCGTATCTTCGTCAAACAGAGGAGGAATCAACAAAGTCAGAAGTCAGATCGAAGAGGAAAGTGAAGGGTTTACCTGGGTTTCGCTTGAAGACATCGCTGGGTTCTTCAAGCTTCGTTCTCCGGTGTATCAGATACATGCAGAGACATCGAAGAGCAGAAGAAGTCAGATCGGAAAAGGGAGAAGTGAAGAGTCATCAGCAGGAAGAGTGTTTCGCTTCAGACGCTTTGAAACAAAGGAGAAGAGAAGAAGGAGGGAAAGGAGGAGTACCTGCGAAGACCGACGATCTGATTCCAGGAGACGAAATCACCGGAAACGGCGGAGTATAAACCGTTCTTCACAGAGAGAAAGAGAGAGCTAGGGTTACGCAGCAACGATGAGGTTATGTCGTGTCTGAGTGAAAGATGGAGTTTTGTTGAGTGTTGACTCGAGACTTAAGACATATGGGCCTAAATGATTGGGCTTCGTCCGCAAACAGAAGGAAACAAAGGAGACTGGGTCGAAAACAGATAAAGCCCAATAACGGACTTAGGCTATAACAAGTCTGTTATAAGAAGGAGAAGATAAGATTATCTTCGAAGGGACCGGCCTTCGACGAGACGTACCAGCGTGTTGTTGGGAACTCGTATACTTGTGTGTGTTCTTTAATCTTTCTGCAACAAACAACCACAAATATAATATCGGTTTCAAATCGGATTTGAATCCGAATCAAGATCGAAGGCATAACTCTAAGTCGAGTAAAAAAACCTCGTCGCCTTTGATCTTCGTCCTCGCTCTCCCGTTTATCATTTGTATTATTCTGGTTACTATGGCGTAGCTGTTGCTTATTTTTCAAGTTTATTACTCCAATGGATACCGATTTGATTTCGAGTCATACACTGTGATCGATTCACTGTCGACACTACTTTTTTTTGTAAGTCGATATATCTACGTTAAAGAGTTTCCTTCTTTTTTTTTTTCCTATTTTCAGCAAAAGAGATTCATAATTAATTAGAAAACCATCATTTTTCCTTTGAAAACAATTTTAATATTGTAGATCATTGCTTTGGCATTTGATTACTTAATTGTATACTAAAAATGGTAATTACTAATTAGCTTGGCTATCATAAGAAGATACATGTGTTCAACCTTCACAAATTTTTTTCTCATTCTTCTTTAGGAGAGCACATCGTTCCACCATTCTCTGGTGAATCTTTTCCCTTTCGTAAATTGCTTTTTGCTCCCTTTTTTATGCTTCATAAGTCCTAATTCTTTGGTAACGACTCTGTTTTGCGTTGATGGTTGTTAATTATCATGTTAATGTTAAGAGTTTTTACTACTTATTATTCCACCTTAAAGAATGAAAAAGAGACAATTTTGTAAAAAGGTTGTTTACACATCCACAGAAGAGCCAAATGCATGTATTAATTTTAATTTTGTTTATAAGTGTTGACAATACACATTTGTGTACGTTTCTAAAATATCGTCCGTATGTAGTACGAGCTCAACACTAGTTATTATTATCTTGTCAGTTTTGGTTCCTTAAATATTGATGCAACAGGGAAAGTGTATCTTATTCCGTTTTTAGCATTTTTTTTGCCGTTTTTTGCATGTTTGGCAAAAACTACACGCCGTTTTTTACATGTGACTATTGTAAGGCCCAAAGCAAGTAAAGCCCAATTACAAATTGGCCCTCTTTGTTCAATTTTATCCATATCTCGAATTTTGCATGAAACTGCATGAGGAATCGTTGCGTATATAACATAGACTTTATGAATCACAATCACTTTATTCCTCTTCTTTCACAATCTCTCTCAAGTCTCTCTCAACTACATAACCATG